CAGGTGATTTCAGGTGATTTCAGGTGATTTCAGGTGATTTCAGGTGATTTCAGGTGATTTCAGGTGATTTCAGGTGATTTCAGGTGATTTCAGGTGATTTCAAATGATTTCAAGTTGATTTCAGCTGTTGAAATCAGTTTGTTCCCCCTTGCATTTGGTTAAGCAACAATGCATTGAAGGAAAATATATCATTGATAAATGTATGTTTCGCTACAAATTATTTGGGTAGTTTCTTGTTAATAGTAAAACTAATAATAATTTAGTTGATCGCATTCTTTCATAATGTAATAAATGAGACGAAAGCTAGTCCATGAAGGCTCTGAAAACATGAATTAATATTATGAATGCTGACAAAATTACACTTATTTGTATCTTGAGCTAATGAAACTGTTCTCATAGCAACTGAAATTACGGAAACTTTAGTCGACTCTTTATTGTAAATCTAGCTGATCACGATAGCTTTCCTAATTATATATGCCTTGATAGTCGATTCAAAGTTGAATCTTGCTCTTAACATCATAAATGATAATGCAGATTAAATTTTTAGAATGCCAATATTTCGTATCTTGGAACATTATTTATTTAACTTCTGTATAAGTCAGTCATGAATTATACATACCCGCTTGCACTACTTCTAGAAAAAGTTGTTCTAAGTGTATTACTCATGGCAACATAAGCAAATGCTGCAGAACATTAACCGATCATAGTCTGTAGAACTGAGCTCAAGTTAAATACACAATCAACAATCATTATTTACGACTTCAGATTCTTTTTGCGGGCTATCTGCATACCAAGCAGAGATCTACAAGTAATTGATAGATAATGATGTTTCTATTGTCAGTATTATTTTTCTCAAAAACTTCTTTTTGTGCATTGCATCTCGTGAAGCTTTCTGGTCGATACTTGTGAACTAATTTAATAAGACTACAAATGGCACACCTTTTAAAGATGCTATTTATGAATGATTCCTTATCTTACTTATCATATATATGAGACAACTACACCTAATCATTCTTCAATAAACGATGTTGCGTTTTCTGTCTCTACATACTCGACGAAGATTCATTTTTTTCTTTTCCTCATACTTTAGCGATATCATTAACTTTTACTTCGACAAGAATCTCTAGGATACTCATCTTCTTTTAACAACATGACCTTCCTTATTCGAAAACTCTAAACTTTTGAGTCCCGGCTTCTTTTTGCAACAATCAGAATTTCTTATAAGAGATTGCTGATGTAAGTGAAGATGGAGAGATATCACTCATGTGCACCCTTTATATGTTACACTCACTGTGATAGAAAATTTTTAGGTAAAACTTGATAACGATTATTTGCTACCACACTAAACCCTATTTGACTCTCAGTTTGAAAGATATATATGATGAACAGAATCTAAAATTGAGAGAACAATCTACACATTATTTCAAAATGGAGGGTTTGAGGTGTGGGTATGGGTGCTGGCATGGTTGTAGGTGTGGGTCGTGAAGTCTGGGTGCCGATCTCTTGTTTCTTACTCACATCCACACTCACACCCTCAGCAGACTATTCAGGATGATTAAATACAGTGATCGATGGATTTTTATAGTGCTCATATGAGTATCCTATTAGCATTTGGGAATTGAATGCAAAAGAAAGCTAGATAACTACGGTATGTTGTGACTATCTCCTTCATCTTCCAATGTTCTCTACTGAACTGTATACAAGTGTTGAGTAATATCTCTTATCATTTTAGCATTAAAATTGATCGGATATAGAATGAGAATTTGATTGAGTGTTAGTATAAGCAGGATGAATCGCTTATTGTATCCCTTATCCAAATCCACATCCACAACCTTTCATGTTTTTATACGATGCAGTGTATTTAAATATCTCATTTTACAATTACAACTTATTTAATATTTGAAACAAATTTCAGCATTTGAAACATGTTCTATCATCAAAACTGATGATGAAACTTCATTATTATATGCCAACATTCTTTTCAAAAATTATCGCTATTTAAAGTCACATTATCTCATTTGTTGATTTCCGAGACAAAACATGACTAAATTACATGAACAACGTAGAGAGAGTTTTTTATTTTGTTAAATGAGATTCTACATTAAAATATTATCGAAGTTTCAGTTTAATCCCTAATATTCGTTACTTTTATTGAGCAAAGGTATTGATATTGCATCAAATTCTAATTGGAAATAACCATTGTCTCTATACTTGAATGTTTGAACATACCATGTACCTTCAAATCGATTTTTATTTGAACTCCAACTCAATTGTATGGTTGATTTATGACCGAGATTTTCTGTTCGGTCACCTGTTCCAGCTTCATACTTTTGCTTCAGAGCTAGTCGCAGAGTTTTAGAAGAAAAAATACCATCGATAGTAAAGTTACCGACGTCATCTGTTCCTCGGCCACTCACTTTGCCTAAAGAATGATCGAACGTGAGTATTACTTGATAAGGTCCATGCCAGCTTTTATATTGATTATATTCTAAAGACCAAACACCTGATTTGAAAGGATACTCTTCATAGTTATAATCTTTTACAGAACCTTGCTCGATAAAAGTTTCATTCATTTGTGATGGTATCCCACTTGTACATTTAAACCAGCAAAGCACCAACAAGCATATTATTGCGACAATCCAAAACGCTATTACGAATAAGGTAAGAAGAAAAAGAAAAAGTCCACATTTAATAGAAAAACAAAATGGTCCAAATCCACCTGATCCTAAAATATTAATAGAACACATGAGTTTCAAAACGAAGCGCATATTCATAGAGTCAGCGTGAATGTCATGAATAACTACGAGAAAAAGTGACTAGTCTCAATTGATTTGATACACCACTATTAGCACCTCAATGAAACCATTCTTTTATATTATATCTATTATCATTTAAGAGTTCTTTACATAGTAAAGTGCACCAAATGCAAAGTGTAGAATAAAAACGTTTTTTTTGTTTTATACATCATTCGATAGAATTCATCGAGCTGAATCTGAATATGTATGATTTCTTTGTGCTTTGACCGCATTTTCAGAGTAAAAACGTCAAAATACTGAAAAAAATCAAGCAATAGGCACAGTTTCGAAAAATAATTGATTTCGTTATTTCTTTCTGAAATTTAGTGATTTAGATTTAGAATTTCAAGCTGAATCTAATGATGTAGTTTTTAATTGTATGAAGCAAACTGTTGCAGAGCGATTTTTATGAAATACTGCAGGACGAGAAAATATGACCAGGTGACACATATACCTTGCGAGCCTATGTAGTCTTTCATTTTAGAATATTTTTGAAAATATTTATACATCAATCGATTCATCATGTGATAGTGAAATAAATTATGTATCGGTTTTGAAAAATTTTGTCTCATCACTAAGAAAATGCATCCATAGTAATTCACTATTTTATTGGTAAAAATAGCTGCCATTGGTTATTAAATTTTTGTCTTGCAAATGAACATTTTCGACAAATATGAATCAAAAGAACGTTTTCTTTTCAATATACTTGATATTTTAAGTCTTCTAATGTGTCTAGAATGTCTTCTTTCTACTCTTAATTGAAGCGGATGCACTGTGTAATAATACTCTGTGTCTACAGTTTTAGGTGATCCTATGTTCACAGAATGAAACACGAAATTATTTTCGAATAACGAACTAAATAAGTTAAGTCGAAAAATCTAGAAAAAAGTTTAATCAATCCCGAAAAACTGAAACTAAAAAACGCAAAAAAGAAATAAAACATAAAATCAAAAGTAAAATTTGATAGACGAAATAGTACTATTCTAGAACTGAAACTAGAAATAATATTTCTATAACTTCTCAATATATATTTGACACTACATGCTGGAAAAGATTAACATGTGCCTATTGTTAAGAAAAGTTCTCATAGCTGAACAACGTAGAACGGAAAATATGATTCCTGGAGTCTTTATATTCTTTCAAAGGATCATCTAGTGATTTTTTGTTCTAGCTCATTGAAAAGACAACGCCCTTTTTATCCATATTTGTCGAAAATGTTCATTTGCAAGACAAAAATTTAATAACCAATGACAGCTATTTTTACCAATAAAATAGTGAATTACTATGGATGCATTTTCTCAGTGATGAGACAAAATTTTTCAAAACCGATACATAATTTATTTCGCTATCACATGATGAATCGATTGATGTATAAATATTTTCAAAAATATTCTAAAATGAAAGACTACATAGGTTCGCAAGGTATATGTGTCACCTGGTCATATTTTCTCGTCCTGCAGTATTTCATAAAAAAACGCTCTGCAACAGTTTGCTTCATACAATTAAAAACTACATCATTAGATTTAACTTGAAATTCTCAATGTAAATCACTAAATTTCAGAAAGAAATGACGGAATCAATTATTTTTCGAAACAGTACCTATTGCTTGATTTTTTTCAGTATTTTGACGTTTTTACTCTGAAAATGCGATCAAAACACAAAAAAATCATACATATTCAGATTCAGCTCGATGAATTCTATCGAATTACGTATCAGACAAAAAAAAATTTTTTTCATTCTACACTTTTGCATTTGGTGCACTGGATAAGAATTGACTGTCAGCTTTTAGATATTTTCATGTGAGGTCCAGATGTCAGCGTGGTGTTATTAAAGTCAAAATAAACCGATTTACTTTATCATTATCCGACATACTTTTTTAGCTCGTAACTTACCACTTCTACTTCCACGACTGCTACTACTACTTCCACGATTTCCACTACTACTGCCTCCACCTCCTCGTCCTCCACCACCACCGGGACCTTGAACGACAATTATCAGTAGAACAAAGACAAGAATAAAATGTGTTGTAATATGCATCGTTTCATCTGAAAAAAAAGATGCCAATCATATAGACTTTCTATTAAGTATAATATAGTCATAATCTTCAAATATGTGAATCTATGGAAATGAGAATGAAATATTGTAAACACGAATAATGTAGTTTAATTGAAACATCATGAAACAAAAAGCATCCTTATTGAATATACTTGTCTCTAGAAAACAAAGCCAACATGTGTAGAAAGTATTACTAAAGGTGAAGATGAAAAATAGGTTAAGAAAAGTGTCTAAGTATAGTTATCTTATCACGTTTACATTACTTTTCTTGATCATCATTTCGTAAAAGAATGTTATGAACACTCTATAACGATTATTATAAAAGTTCATAAGCAAAATTTATTGGCTCTAGTAAAAATGCTCTTACTTGTTTTATTCCTTTAATATATGTTCTATTTTGAGCACAACTAACTGTTACCTTTAGTATTCAGAAAAACTTTCATATACATCTCAATGAAGAAAACTAATGTAAAACAAAAGTCAAATAGATTTCTAAGGCAATGGATAATGATAAAAATATACATATTTACTTAAATGATCACTTTTTTTCTAATGAGCAATGTAGATGACTGTGCACATCATAGAATGAGAATAATATTTATCACCACTTCATATTTTATTATTCATCTCTTCCTATTACTGTTTCATTATATGCTTTTCTCTTTGATATCTTCGTAAAGAGTTGAGTTTTTCTCAGCTCTCATCAAATCGCATAGTCTGTAAATTAATAAATGAATATCAGACTTATTGTTGTTTTACTTATAAAAATTATTCATATTCTGATGACATAACAGTACTCAAGAAAAAAATCTAGGTCAATTTGATTCGATTGGCACGGAATAGAGTCTAATGAAATTTAACAGAATTTTCATGAGCGATAGTCGGACAACGAAGAAGACTTCCTCTAGAATAGTTGGAAGAATTATTTGCAATGAAAAAGAGTAGAATATAAATTTTTTAAACAATGTAGCATGACAGAACATATGCTTGTTGTAATAGATAAGAGAAAATGGTTGATGTCTTCAGAAAAATACTATCAGCAAAGAAAACATCAATAAGTTTATTTTGTCTGTTTTGTTGAGTTCTGTCTCGCTGCTCTCCGTAGTTTGGTACAACCATAGAAGAAAGACACCCCCTTTGTATAACATATACAGAATGGAAAAAATTCTATTGGTGTTTACATATCACCCCTATCGTGTATATATATAAAATTAAATATAGATGTCAGAGAAGAACAACTCATAATGATATTGATGCTCATACGAACTGGTACACATGAAAGCCGATTGAATCTATTAATTAAGAGAATGTTTGAACTATTTCAAAAAAAAGAAATGAATTCCATAGGAAGACATCTAGTAATTAGTGTTTCAGAGAGAAAATCATATATAAAAAATTATTTTTTAAAATTTCCTCACAAAAAATCGTCACTATATTATCGCAAAAATATGGCAAATACAATAAATATTAATATTGAAGATCTTGATAATTTAAATATTAAAAAAATTCATCAACTAACTATGACCCAGGATATCATAGGTTCAACAATACATTCAGATGAATGGAGAGGATACTTGCCTCTAGGAAATGAAAACGATTACACCCATTTAACTGTTAATCACTCCGTCGGCTTCATTAACTCCACAACCGGCGTGCACACCCAAAAAATTGAGAATACTTGGATGAGAGTTAAAATAAAACAAAAAAAACAAAGTGGAATACGTCGAACATTACTTTTAACTTATTTAGAAGAATTTATGTGGAGACAGCATTTTGGAGGTAAACCATTTAAAAACTTAGTTTTGAAAATTCATTCAGTGTATCCTGTTGCTTAATTTTTTTAAAATAAATATCTCTTGTTCTTCTCTGACATTTATAATTTAATTTTATATATATGTACGATAGTGGTGATATGTAAAAACCAATAGAATTTTTTTTTTCCGTTCTGTATATGTTTTACAAAGGCAGTGTCGTTCTTCTATAGTTGTACCCGTATTTTTTCCAATGTTGTTGGATCCTATATTTGATGAGAAAGACGATTCTATTTACATCATAGACTGCCAATGAAACTTGTGTATTATTCTGATCTTTGAGTCACTAAAACATAAGAAATAAAATTGTAGCTGAATAACACAGTTGATGCATCATGTGACTACAAAACAGAATGTACGAAAGAGAAAATGAAAAAACAACGGAAAGAAAAGAGAAAAGATCCATACATAAATTGATGGCAAGCAATCAATTTTGACGGTTGAAAGATGTCATATTCATCTACTACCGTTATACCATAGCGAAAAACATACACGAATATCAAGTACCCTTATACTTATTTAACCACTGTCAGTATCTTCTTTAATCGAATTTCTATTATATGAATTGTATTCTTCGATATAGATTTTTAAACTTTAAAATATTTTTAACAAGCAGCTGTTTTACGTTTAATACAAAGTTGCAGATTGTTATATGTTGGGTTTTTTTAGCTAAATTTTAATTTTATCATTCATGAACTTTCAATGGTTTAAGCATTTAAAAAGAGCAAATCTATCAGGCTGGTTTTAATTTTAGTATCTATATAATTGTTTTGAATGAATGTGTTATTCACACCAAGTTTTTTTCAGATAGGCTAAAGAAAAAGAGCTCGAATCATTGAAGGTTAACAAGAATGTCAGAAAATTTTAAAAAATCTACGCATCAATTTTTTACACTTTGAAAAGGACGTACTGTGGTTGGAACCTTAAAAAGATAATTTCTAGGAATATTTTAGAACTTCATATTCATGAAGGAAAACTTAGCAGTTTCATAATTATCTACTACTATTACTATAAAATAAAATTCATCCAACAGAATCATAATGAGGATAGAGCATTTTATATTTTGTCAATGATTAATCATCACGTGGTTTGTATTAAAAAAATGAAATTTATCCGATCACGGAGATTCTATTGAGGAGAATATGAAACTTTAATACATAGACCAAAATGTTTTACACTAAACATATTATATATTTTTAATATTGAATATGATGAACAACATCATCTAAAATGTCATCATTTCAAATACAAAGTTTCGTTTTAAACTGATCAACTATGGTAAATAATGGTGCAGTCGGATAGTTCCACTAGAAATCTCTCACAGTTACAGTGACATTCAATAGCTAAGCTGACACTTACACTAGTGAATGGTTTTTCTAACCTCTGTTCTATGATAAAAAATAACCTACAGTTCATTTCATCAATATCATTTTTTTAAACCACAAAACTCCATGATTTGACCTATACTCATTGTTTTCGTTATTTTATAGTACCTGCATTTTTCTGCAACGAGACATCCTCATTTCATTTCTCTATACTAGTATATAGCACTAAGTTCGTAGTTTAGAGACATAATGATATCAGCTCATTCATATCACGGATATGCCAATTCTTCCGAGTCGAGTTTATCCAAAACGTGAAAAAGTAGCAATAATAGCCTATTTTGTGATGTACTGTTCCACATTATAATATTCTTATTAATCATCGACTTTATTCATATTATATAAGTATAGGTTTTATCTACTTAATGATATAAGAACCATCAGTGTAACTGTTATTATTTAGTCAATAGTAGGCGATAGTCTGTTAGGCTGTAATTTCTTACAATGAAAAAATCACACATTGTGAGAAGGATCCTTTGCGCATGGAGATTTTTCCAAAACTCTAAATACTGTTGAGGCAAAGAACTAACTCTATTTTATGTGCTAGAATACTAATTTCGTGTGCCGATTTCAGCCGTTATGCAAAAAAACGAGGTGAAAATGTTCATTTCTCAACTGAAATGAGTCTTCGCCTTGGTTACATAGATTATTAAAGATACATTTAATACGGATGAAATTTAGGGTGAGTGTGAATGTTAGTGCGAGTATCAAATTTCTCTTTATTTTCCGTCATTCATACTGCCACACACTAACAAACACACTCTCACCCACATTCTCTCCAACGCCAATACTCAAAAGTATACTAGTCTTGTACCTACAGTCATATCCATACCCACGCATACCCACAAATATAAGTTAGATTTAGAACAAAAACTCAATGGCACCAAATTAAATTGCAAACAGTACGAAAAATACAATTTACACATACACTTTCTTTTGTTAATAGACAAAGATAAGTGAAAAATCAAAGTTCAAATCATATTCCTGCAAAATAACCAAACAATCAATATAAATATACAACATATGTACTTCGAAAATGAACTTATGAGAATAATATATATATAAATAATGGAACAAGAGACCATAATAATTGTCACACAAAATATATCCTGCACAACAGATAAGGAAATGAAAGTGTTCAGTATTATACTTGAAAAGGGTTCTAGATGGCGAAATAAAATATATATAAATCAATATGAAAAGCATTCTAATTGTTGTTACTAATTTTTTGTTTTCAATTATCGAAATACCTTAAAATAATGAAAAGATGATAGTAGATCAATATCTTCAATGTAGAAGATACTCTCACTGATACTTTAATTGATACATAATTGGATGAAGCGAAAATTAGATATGAAATATCATCATCTTTAAGAAATTACCAAGAAATATCAATAGAATATGCTGAACTGAAACACATGTTCTGCCCGATTTTACAAAGTATCAAATAACTATGGAAATATGCATTCCGTAAATCTTCAAATACATTAATAAATGGAAACATATTTTCTATTGAATGAACATAATTTTTTTATGAAAGTCGTTGAATAAAAGGAAGAATATAAGTTATTTCTTTCATAATAAAATATTTGTTTTCATATCTAAGACTAATATTAAGTTGACGAATACTTTCACATCGGTAATATCTCTTTTTTTTAATCATATCTATGGTTAGATCATCTAAGAGAGCACCTATTAGAGCGCTGAAAAACTGAGACACTGCAAAAATGTTTACTGTTTGATTTTTTAAGTACATTCAAAAGGTTATTATCTAAAACTACTAAACCTA